TTGTTTAAAATAATGTAACTCGAATTAATAAATCTTCCAAGCTTTTTTCGACTGTTTTCCAAAGAAAGTGTCATATTTAACAGAGATTATAATAGCATTAAAGATAAATAAAATATCGATATACTTAATAATAATAATCCCCATTGTTAAGGTTTGCAGACATTATTAACGTTAACAAAAAGCAGTGATGTCACTACCTAAAATTTATACTGTATGACGTAAAGGTTAACCTTACATATTTATATAATATATCAATATATAATAATTATGCCGAAATCAAAGCCTTATCGAATCGGATACTCAGCTAATTTTTAATCAGGTGTCCCAGGAATAGTGAACATAGCTGTAATTACTTCAAGACAACTGACACCACTAACCCGAAACGAACCTACCCAAAACTAGTTTTAGAAATACTAATCCGAAAACCTAAATATAATTTAGAGTTTCGGAAATCGAAACCTGAAATTATATTCCGAATTTTTGAATAAATCGAAACCTTTCTGAAAAAGAAAAGGTCAAAAATATAGTTAAAGTTTAGTTTATATAATATTTAAAATAAATAATAAAAATAGAAAAATCCTGGTCACACTAAGTACATTCATTTTTAAGGTTTGCTTCTTATACAATATATATAGATGGTGCTATATTTGGTCTTTACAAATAAGATATGAATACGTGCATGAATGTCTTCTAAAATGCATTTATCAAAATTTTTTTTATTGATTTGATAAAGACATGTCTTCAATGAACGAATAAAAAATTATTAAGTTTGGACTTTTATCCTTATAATGAGTATTAATATCTCACCAATAGTAACACTACCAAGTATGTATGAAATGTGAATAAGAACCACTAAAATAAAAAACATAATTTAGTAAAATAAAAATAAGGATTAAAGCAATAACTGCTAACAAAGATAATATTTGAGATAGAAGAATTGAATTTTTCCATTAATACTTTTAAAGTTGGTCGAAATCAATTACTCTAACAACTAATTATGTGTTTGAAAAATAAATTCATTATAGATACAATATTTATACTATTTAATTAATTTTTTGTAATTAATTTATACTAATTTATAGGATTAACAATTATATGTTACATGACGAATAATATATCAGATATGAATATCAAATAAACTATATACCAAAAATACGCACCAGTCGTTGTAATTGGTATAAATCATGTGAAAACAACAACACTGTATTTTTCGTTATAGATATGGGTTGAAGGAATTGATTTATTATTAATATTTATATTATCAATTCCAGGGATTTCTTCGCTTTCTTTTTTACGCCACTTTTTAAGAAACAAAATTCCACCAAATATTGGAATAAAAATCACAATACATCCGACAATAATGACTATAATAATAACTGTGAAATTTATTCCTGAGTTTGATAAAATGGTTAAAAAAAAAGGCAAAATTTAGTCAGTATCAGACAAATTATAATAACTCGGTAAAAAAATTACAATAATTGAATTACCACTAGCAGTTGATGTGTTTTGCAAAATAGTAAAATCACCGGAAATGTTTTCGCTTGAATCATAATTTATAGACAAAAAATAATTATCTTCTGGTACTGAAACATTCCATATTTTACTTAAAGCTTGAAGATTTAAATTATCATCGATTAATGTACTTTGACCCGTGGATCTACTTTCTATTTTTAACAAACCAGGGTTTGTTGGTGGTTGACCATAAATCTGCCAACTGATTGTTATTAAACTTCCAGTATATATTTTTCCACTAGGAGTGATGATATTTATATCTAATGAAAAGAATTAATAAAAACAAAATATGTCTTCTCGTCTGCTTGATTGTATTAAAAACATTAAATAATTTTATTAAGTCACTTACCAGCAATTATCAAAGGAATACATACTATTAGAAGCGCAAAAATTACGAGATTATTTTTAATGGAATGGGCCATTTTTTCATATATTTATTTAAAAGAAAGAAAATGTTCTGAAGAACAAAATTATAATAGTCAACATTATGTAAAATATATTTAGATTTCTAGAAAGAAACATTAACGATTCAGGAATTTTCATTGTAACACGTATATTTAAACCTTACCATCAATGAAATTTTCAGCCCTGAATTTAAGAGAAGAAATAAAGTTTATGGAGGTATTTATGCACGATGTGCATGATCTTGAGAATTTCGAAACTATTTATTATGCTTCATTCAGTAGTTCATTATTTACAATGTGAAATAGTATACTACTAAATAGGGCTCTATTATATTCTTATCTATCATTATAACTCTAAAGTGCAATGTTGAGCAATTCTATTACGATAAGCGAGCAATAAAAGTCACTAATTTTATAACCCTTCGCAATATGTATAGACCTTCCGGTTTCATAAAACATCATTTTGCATGTGAGAGCGGTCATTTACTACCATTTTAAGTTATTAAGTGAATTTTTGGTTTTTTTTTTATCGCTATGAAAAGTATGTTACACACGCATACGTACGTACGTCCGATAACGTTGGATCCCGGATAGGATTGTCCGAATTACGGATAGGAGATAAGAAAAAATTAAATTCCAAAATCGAGACTATGTTAGAGCGTAACTGCTCATTGAATAAATAAATCAATAAATAAATAAATAAAAAGCATCGCTAATAATTTCACTTTCTAAAAGTTAGAAATTTGTTAAAATAGCATCAAGTTCGAATTTTGACCGGGAATAAATTTTTGAAGATGGATAGATTAGTCAGGCCCAATCGATCCGAAATCTCTTGGCAAACAAAATTTATATGAATGACGGTAAGAGAAAATTCAAAATGGTATGGATGCACAGTATCTATTTTAAATTTTATATGGAAGATCTTTGCTAGGAAAATCATTCTCAAAATTATTTTACCTAAGAAACCAAATTTATTTTAGAAAACAATTTCTAGCAAAGATTACATATTAGGACAGATTAGCGGTGCAACCAAAATTCAGCAGATCTACCAAGATTTAGGGTCGTCCCCACATAACATTACAATATTAGTACGTATTGACTGTCCATATTTTTTTTGCCAATTTGGACATTTGTCCAAATGCTATATGTCCAATTAAAAAATTACCTGTCCATATTATTTTTATTAGTCCAAACGCTAACACCCTGTCAATACTGATCAATTTTAAGTTGATCATGTTTGTCATTTAAGGTTATTTTCAAACGCCTCTTTATGGTTCATTGAATGATTTTATTTGCTAAAAAAAAATAGATCGGGATAGTCATTTATTTTATAGTTACTCTGATTGCTGAAATTTAAAATTCGCATTTCGACGTACAATGAAGCTTCGGCAACATTTTGATCACTAGCAAATCACATTTGAGAGAGTTTAGTGTTAGGATTTAATACTAACCGATAATTATTAATGTTAACTTGATTGCCTGTATTACATTAATGCTGGTCAGCCGACCAGGAAATTTAGATACTCCAGTTATAGTTGTTAGGCGAAACTGTTTTACAAAAATGATGACCTAGAAAAAACTTAAGGTGACAAAATTATGGCAAAGACGAAACTCTGACGAAAGATGAAACCCGGGCGAAAGGCGAAACCTCTGTCTGACAAATGGCAAAACCCCTGGCGAAAGACGAAACCTCTGATAAAAGTAGGGATGGGCAAAATAAAGTAATTTATTAAGTAATAATTACTTATGACCTATACTTTAATTAATGTTAATTCTTAATATTACTTATAAGGAATGAATAATTAAAGCTAGGATACAAACATGTAAAATCATAAATAATGCTGAGTAATATTAAATAATACATAATAAATTTGCCTATCTTTAGATAAAAGAAAACTCAGAACTTTAATAAAAGGCGAATTCTGGGATGTGCGATGATGATCACATAGTCCAAGTCTCATAGTAAATATTTTAAAAAATATCCTTTTAAAATAGAAAATTGCTACGAATAATATCGATATCACCAGTGTTTTATAAATAGGATTTCAAATTTACCGGCTCACTATCCGTTTATCATTGAAATTTCCGGATTGCTTTTAATAATTCCGTCTTTTTTCTCATGTTTCTTTAAACTCCTTATTTTCCGATACATAAGATCCGGATAGTCTCAAAAATTACGGATCAGGGCCCACCTGTTTGCTTTTAAAATATCGGTACTCGAAATGTAAAAACCGGACAATCCGGAATTTTACTATGCTATTTAAAACACCACAATTTCACGTATAACATAACAGATAACGATAAAACAAACAAAATTAATTTCATTTACTTTTACTTGATAGTTTTCTAGTCTAACCTATGATAATTTTAAAAAAAAAACTATATTCATTTAATTGTTTTTAGCTCAGTCTATATAATTTAAAAAAAAATTTAGTTTTGCTTAATAGTTTTCTGGTCTAACCTATAATAATTTTTTAAAAAAAACTACCTCACTTTATTGTTTTTAATCTAGTCTATACAATTTAAAAAAAAAAATTTACTTTCACTTGATAGTTTTCTGGTTCAATTTATAATAATTTAAAAAAAAACTACTTTCACTTAATTTTTTTTTGGCTCAGTCTATATATTTTAAAAAAAAATTTACCTTTGCTTAATAGTTTTCTGGTCCAATCTAAAATAATTTAAAAAAAACTATTTTTACTTAATTGTTTTTAGCTTAGTCTATACAATTTAAAAAAAACTTAGCTTCACTTGATAGTTTTCTAACCTAATCTATGATAATTTAAAAAAACTACTTTTACTTAATTATTTTTGACCTAGTCTATATAATTTAAAAAAAAAAACTTATTTTTACTTGATAGTTTTCTGATTCAATCTATAATAATTTTAAAAAAAAAACTATTTTAGCTTAATTGTTTTTAATTTAGTCTATATAATTTAAAAAAAACTTAGCTTTGCTTAATAGTTTTTTAGTCTAACCTATGATAATTTTAAAAAAAACTACTTTTGCTTAATTGTTTTTGGTTTAGTCTATATAATTTAAAAAAAACTTGGTTTTACTTGATAGTTTTTTAGCCTAAAAAACTACTTTTATTTAATTGTTTTTAACCTAGTCTATACAATTTAAAAAAAAACTTAGTTTTACTTAATAGTTTTTTGGTCTAACTTATAATAATTTTTTTAAAAAAAACTATTTTTATTTAATTGTCTTTAGTTTAATTTATATAATTTTAAAAAAACTTAGCTTTACTTAATAGTTTTCTAGCTCAACTTATAATAATTTTTAAAAAAACTACTTTTACTTGATTATTTCTAGTCTATTACTGTTATTAAATGAACTTTAGCATATTTTCTTAATTATTTATTATTATATTATATTTGATATTTAGATTTATATATTA